TAATCATGAAACATCAATAATAAAACATTTTTAAAGGATGTTTTAACGTTTTTCAGTTAAATTTTTTTTCCTATATTTGGATACCCTGTGGTGAGGCTATCACGTGACAAATAATAATAATAATAATAATAATAATAATGCTTATATAGCGCTTATCCAATTCTGTTCTAAGCACTTTAAAACTACATGACAACTACAAAACACATGAGAGTCTTGGTAGACTGTGAGCTTGAGTTGGCGCCTCTGGCTGCCGCTGCACAGTCCGTCCCAAGATCTCAAACTAAAAAAGCACAACAACCAGATTACATCACAATAAACAAGTCAAATGTTTTTTTTCATGATGCCCGGTGGCTTAACCAAGCTCATTCGCGCTTTGACAGGTCTTGTATTTAGTCCTGCTGGGTGTCATGCCACCCTCTTCACCAGTGTAGACTGGTGGTGGTTACCAGTAGCAGACTACATGTCTGACCTGACATTATGTGTATAGCCGATATAAGTTTAATTGTACAGAGAACAGCTCAATAAACCTATTTTCAAGAAACTGGTAATTACATTGAGATTTTGCTGGATTTTATGCATTTTTTTTATTTCAGCCTCATTTTTATGTTGTAGGAGTGAGAAAGCAACCCCTTAAACCACCAAAATCAAGTTTTTCAAGCTGGAAACAGATTTTTTTCTGATCAGCACCTCCAGAAGAACCTTTTAAGCCCTGTCTCCTGCTTCTACTCAGAACTTTATAAAAAAATGAAAAATAAGCACATTTTTTGACTTTGCCTCCTGACTATAAAGTTACAAGTGGTCATGGAGTTTATATACAAAAACTAGAACAATTCTCGGGAGGCTTTACAGCGGAAATCGTTGCATCGCCACTTCTTTGTTTTGAAGTTTGTCTGGATTTTGTTCTTTCTTTCAATCTGAGGGGCGGAGCTTTTCGAAAACTCGTTCAATCATTGGCTGAATAGTATCAAGCTCCGTCACCAAGTCGCAGAAAAACCTAAATCCCAACGATTTCCTATGAACATTGAAGTCGCGATGCAACGGTTTCTGCTGTAAGTCCCTCGTTTATGGTAGCTTTGGTACTTTTAATATTATAGTATGCCTCAAGCGATCACAATTGCGACCTGTTATTTCTAGAGTCGAAAATTTCCACGTTGTTGTGAACAGCATTAAAATATGTTGCTTAAAGTCCACGACGGTTTTACTCCATTGAGACTTACTAAATCATTGAAAAGAGACACTTTGGTTTTTAACTCGAAGATTGCGAAGCAATCGAAGAGTTATTGGAGGGGGACGAATCTGTCACTCACTCACTCACTCACTCACTCACTCACT